GTGGTGTACAGTGTAGTGACCATGGTGGTGAGTACAGTGTGGTGACCATGGGTGGTGGTGTACAGTGTAGTGACCATGGTGGTGGTGTACAGTGTAGTGACCATGGGTGGTGGTGTACAGTGTGGTGACCATGGTGGTGGTGTACAGTGTAGTGACCATGGTGGTGGTGTACAGTGTAGTGACCATGGTGGTGTACAGTGTAGTGACCATGGTGGTGGTGTACAGTGTGGTGACCATGGTGGTGGTGTACAGTGTAGTGACCATGGTGGTGGTGTACAGTGTGGTGACCATGGTGGTGGTGTACAGTGTAGTGACCATGGTGGTGGTGTACAGTGTGGTGACCATGGTGGTGGTGTACAGTGTAGTGACCATGGTGGTGGTGTACAGTGTAGTGACCATGGTGGTGGTGTACAGTGTGGTGACCATGGTGGTGGTGTACAGTGTGGTGACCATGGTGGTGGTGTACAGTGTAGTGACCATGGTGGTGGTGTACAGTGTGGTGACCATGGTGGTGGTGTACAGTGTAGTGACCATGGTGGTGGTGTACAGTGTAGTGACCATGGGTGGTGGTGTACAGTGTGGTGACCATGGTGGTGGTGTACAGTGTAGTGACCATGGTGGTGGTGTACAGTGTAGTGACCATGGTGGTGTACAGTGTAGTGACCATGGTGGTGGTGTACAGTGTAGTGACCATGGGTGGTGGTGTACAGTGTGGTGACCATGGTGGTGGTGTACAGTGTAGTGACCATGGTGGTGGTGTACAGTGTAGTGACCATGGTGGTGTACAGTGTAGTGACCATGGTGGTGGTGTACAGTGTGGTGACCATGGTGGTGGTGTACAGTGTAGTGACCATGGTGGTGGTGTACAGTGTGGTGACCATGGTGGTGGTGTACAGTGTAGTGACCATGGTGGTGGTGTACAGTGTGGTGACCATGGTGGTGGTGTATAGTGTAGTGACCATGGTGGTGGTGTACAGTGTAGTGACCATGGTGGTGTACAGTGTAGTGACCATGGTGGTGGTGTACAGTGTAGTGACCATGGGTGGTGGTGTACAGTGTGGTGACCATGGTGGTGGTGTACAGTGTAGTGACCATGGTGGTGGTGTACAGTGTAGTGACCATGGTGGTGTACAGTGTAGTGACCATGGTGGTGGTGTACAGTGTGGTGACCATGGTGGTGGTGTACAGTGTGGTGACCATGGTGGTGGTGTACAGTGTAGTGACCATGGTGGTGGTGTACAGTGTGGTGACCATGGTGGTGGTGTACAGTGTAGTGACCATGGTGGTGGTGTACAGTGTGGTGACCATGGTGGTGGTGTACAGTGTAGTGACCATGGTGGTGGTGTACAGTGTGGTGACCATGGTGGTGGTGTACAGTGTAGTGACCATGGTGGTGGTGTACAGTGTGGTGACCATGGTGGTGGTGTACAGTGTGGTGACCATGGTGGTGGTGTACAGTGTAGTGACCATGGTGGTGGTGTACAGTGTGGTGACCATGGTGGTGGTGTACAGTGTAGTGACCATGGTGGTGGTGTACAGTGTAGTGACCATGGTGGTGGTGTACAGTGTGGTGACCATGGTGGTGGTATACAGTGTGGTGACCATGGGTGGTGGTGTACAGTGTAGTGACCATGGGTGGTGGTGTACAGTGTAGTGACCATGGGTGGTGGTGTACAGTGTGGTGACCATGGTGGTGGTGTACAGTGTGGTGACCATGGTGGTGTACAGTGTGGTGACCATGGGTGGTGGTGTACAGTGTAGTGACCATGGTGGTGGTGTACAGTGTGGTGACCATGGGTGGTGGTGTACAGTGTAGTGACCATGGTGGTGGTGTACAGTGTGGTGACCATGGTGGTGGTGTACAGTGTAGTGACCATGGGTGGTGGTGTACAGTGTGGTGACCATGGGTGGTGGTGTACAGTGTAGTGACCATGGTGGTGGTGTACAGTGTGGTGACCATGGGTGGTGGTGTACAGTGTAGTGACCATGGGTGAGTTGATGCTTCTTAAGGTAAAGTGTTATCTCACATACACAAGTCTAAGATAACACACTCAAATCAAATCCTCAAATACAATCAACAGGGTGAAAATAAATCTTGCAATAGCCAACTAAACATATTGCAAGAAACAGTTATACACTTGCAATAAACAGGTAAACATTGCCTGCATCTTTAAGCTTTGATGAACAACAGCGAAAAATTCTGTCAATTAGTTTATACAAAAAATACAAAATAATTCCTGTTTTTTGAGATATATACAAGAGTTGTTACATTCTTGTAGAGCCACTAGTACGCGTAGCGTTTCGGGCAGGTCCTTAATCCTATGGTCCCTGGAATACGATCCCCTGCCGCGAAGAATCGTTTTTTCATCCAAGTACACATTTTACTGTTGCGTTAAACAGAGGCTACAGTTAAGGATTTGCGCCCAGTAAATCCTCCCCGGCCAGGATACGAACCCATGACATAGCGCTCGCGGAACGCCAGGCGAGTGTCTTACCACTACACCACGGAGACTGTTGAACACAATTGGTAATTCCTGTTCATCTCAGCTCACTCATCTTGGAGGAGCCCAAACAATCTTCACCTTATAGAACACGACAAAAAGAACAAAACCAATTTACTTATCCGCCTTGAATCACTTGCAGGTCGACGCCTAAAATGTTCAGCAATAATTGGTGAACACACGAGGCGGGAACAACTCATTTCTCGCCCGCCAACTCCTTCACACCGCAGACCACTAATCAAAACAAGAACTTAACAAATTCTCACATCAAATTGACTCATTGGGACTACTGGGAACTGCTCGTAGGGACCTGCTGGTAGGGACCTGCTGGTAGGGACCTGCTGGTAGGGACCAGCTGGTAGGGACCTGCTGGTAGGGAACTGCTGGTAGGGAACTGCTGGTAGAGACCTGCTGGTAGGGAACTGCTGGTAGGGAACTGCTGGTAGGGAACTGCTGGTAGGGAACTGCTGGTAGGGAACTGCTGGTAGGGAACTGCTCGTAGAGACCTGCTGGTAGGGAACTGCTGGTAGGGAACTGCTGGTAGGGAACTGCTGGTAGGGAACTGCTGGTAGAGACCTGCTGGTAGGGAACTGCTGGTAGGGAACTGCTGGTAGGGAACTGCTGGTAGGGAACTGCTGGTAGGGAACTGCTCGTAGAGACCTGCTGGTAGGGAACTGCTGGTAGGGAACTGCTGGTAGGGAACTGCTGGTAGAGACCTGCTGGTAGGGAACTGCTGGTAGGGAACTGCTGGTAGGGACCTGCTGGTAGGGACCTGCTGGTAGGGACCTGCTGGTAGGGACCTGCTGGTAGGGACCTGCTGGTAGGGAACTGCTGGTAGCGAACTTCTAAACACATGAACAAGTTCCACATAAATTATAACCAAATGGTTGTAATATAGCGAGTGAATTGGTTATGTATTAATGGTCAGTGTGTATCTGATTTGCCTTTATTAAAATTATATTATTATTCTTTTGAATCTAAAAGAATTATGAGCAGGTAGGAACTAGTAAGCAAGTTCGACGACCAACAGAGAGGAACAGCTGCCCTTGTAAACACAGCACGGAACCTCAATATGTATCACTATGTATCCAAGTGACGACCAACAGAGAGGAACAGCTGCGTTTGTAAACACAGCCAGTGTCCAGCCACGGCGCCACGGAACCTCACTATGTGTCACTATGTATCCACGTGTTTGTTCAGTCAAACGGGTGCAAATAACAGAGTGCGGCCCAGCTATAAAGAGTAGTTGAAATACCTCGTCGATATAACAAGCATTCCGTGTGGAGTGTGAGTACACGCACCCCTGGTCCAGGGGGCGGGCAGGGACCGTGGTCCAGGGCAGGGACCGTGGTCCAGGGCAGGGACCGTGGTCCAGGGCAGGGACCGTGGTCCAGGGCAGGGACCGTGGTCCAGGGCAGGGACCGTGGTCCAGGGCAGGGACCGTGGTCCAGGGCAGGGACCGTGGTCCAGGGCAGGGACCGTGGTCCACATCTCCCCCTAACTTACTCCTCATCAACCAAAGAGTAGTTAATAAAGGATGACAGACCATTACGCTGTCAGCGGTAATTATTGTCGCTCGATTAATGAGGAAGGGGTTGAGAAACCTACCTACCCCCCTCCCCCTCTCTCTCCATTAGAGAGAGAGAGAGAGAGAGAGAGAGAGAGAGAGAGAGAGAGAGAGAGAGAGAGAGAGAGAGAGAGAGAGAGAGAGAGAGAGAGAGAGAGAGAGAGATTCTGATCCACTTAGAAGTGGATCAAATGAGACTTGAGGCGGCACAATGGTGTTAGAAAGTCAGGTTGGGTGGTGAGAGTGAGTGGGGTAGGAAGCTGGTAGTCGACCAGACCCCTGACAGCCCACCACAACGTTTCGGTCCGTCCTGGACCAGTTATGTCGTATGGGGGGTCCAGGACGGACCGAAACGTCGTCGCTTCTCCATCTTCTGATGTGTTCGTCTGGTCATCATATCTTCAGCCATGTTATTGTAATATTCATAATAAATTAGTATGTCACATATGCACTTATTAATAAGCCAATATTGACTATAAGCAAGTGCGAGAACGGGTTGGACTCATCGTCTGCATCTGAGTCTGACAACAGACAACAGGAGCTGGATTCATTGATCCAAAAGATGAATGGATCTTTTTTGGCCTTACAACCACGTACAACCTGACCTTACAACCATGTACAATCTGGCCTTACAACCATGTACAACCTGGCCTTACCTTGTGGTGATTCAGACGATTCATTACTATACAATTATTGTACATTTCAGAACATATACATTTACATATTATACACACACAAAAACTGAACGTTTTTAACCTGTTTTAATTCAATATATGAAGCAAATGTGCTTCTTGAAACTATGTTTGAACTACAGTGGCTATTGTATTCGACAGTGAGCATACAACAGTAGCAATACACCATAGGGGTGAGGTAATGACCCCCTCAGTGCCCTATGTTGTGTGGAAGGCGCCCATGGCACCCCAGTGACCCACCTTGGCACCCCAGGAGTTCGAAACGTAGTGACGGGTGGGAGTGCCAGTCCAAGACATGCAGACGGACGAACCGTCCCGTCACCGCTGGTTCTACATAGTTGTGACGGGTCTGGTGAGAGTCGACGTTGGCCTGGAACACCTGTCAGGGGAGAGACACATATATACACACCTGTCAGCACGTGTTGTAAACCTGTCATCCAAAAATTAGAGCATATATTGCATATATACGTGGAGCGTTCTATACTTGTGACATGCAAGGCTCTACTAGGTCTGGAAGGGTCCTTGTCCTCGTATCCCAGATCCTTGTCCTCGAATTCCAGCTCCTTGTCCCCGAATTCCAGCTCCTTGTCCTCGTATCCCAGCTCCTTGTCCTCGTATCCCAGCTCCTAGTCCTCGTATCCCAGCTCCTTGTCCTCGTATCCCAGCTCCTTGTCCTCGTATCCCAGCTCCTTGTCCTCGTACCCCAGCTCCTTGTCCTCGTACCCCAGCTCCTTGTCCTCGTACCCCAGCTCCTTGTCCTTGAATCCCAGCTCCTTGTCCTTGTATCCCAGCTCCTTGTCCTTGTATCCCAGCTCCTTGTCCTCGTATCTCAGTTCCTTATCCTAACATCCCAATTGCTTGTCTTTGAATAGTAGAGCATTCTCCCACACTGTATGAAGTCAGCATACACACCCACCCACCCAAATGCAGGATATACGATCCTATATCACCGGGTCTGTGGTATAGACAAACTGGTTAGAGTGGTTAAGCCCATGAGCTACACCCTTTGGTCTGCACTGAGTTTACATCCTACTCTATAGTCCCCCCTCTGTAAATAAGGCGCCTCCACCCACTTACATCCCGGGATTATATCCTGTCGAACATAGCGTGTCTATCATTACTCTCGTATATCCCTCTGGACCCCTTCTTATACGCTCTGTCGGAACCTGCTTCAATGCCGTGGCACTTTTACTGCAATCGTTCCCCCCCCCTGGCACACCTGGCACCCCCCCCCACACACGCTTGGCACCCTCGTATCTCATTCTGATCACAAGAAAGGCCCCCGAGTTCGGAAATGATATAGAGTGCCAGGCGGCACTGAAATTGTATGCGTCAGTAAATATCCCAGACGGCCAGATGACAGGTTTTCGGGGGGCGAGAGAGAGGTGGACGCGGCCCTAACTCGTCCCCCGTGACGGCTTTATTTGAGGGGGCGGCGCCCCTAATATGAGGGAGGTGGTGAGCCCAATTGGTAGCGGAGTGACGCGCTCTCTGCCCCACCTCCGCCACCGTGGCGGACCGCACCGGAAAATCTTTCCCGACCGGACTTTATAAGAGGTGGTTTGTGCAGTGGTGCAAGGTACTAAGTAGAGGCTTTGGTTATAATAGCCTGTGGTTGACACAACACTCTTCACCCTGTGGCTTAGTCCTGTGGCTTAGTCCTGTGGCTTAGTCCTGTGGCTTAGTCCTGTGGTTTAGTCCTGTGGCTTAGCCCTGTGGCTTAGTCCTGTGGCTTAGTCCTGTGGCTTAGTCCTGTGGCTTAGTCCTGTGGTTTAGTCCTGTGGCTTAGTCCTGTGGTTTAGTCCTGTGGCTTAGTCCTGTGGTTTAGTCCTGTGGCTTAGTCCTGTGGCTTAGCCCTGTGGCTTAGTCCTGTGGCTTAGTCCTGTGGCTTAGCCCTGTGGCTTAGCCCTGTGGCTTCCCACCTGTGGAGTCCTCGTTCCCCAGTCCACATTAAGAGTTTACCCTACGAGACTGTACCGAGATCAGTGGCTAACAAGAGACTAGGCCAAGACCGTCTTGGCCAGGCACAGACTGGCCACCAAGACCGTCTTGGCCAGGCACAGACTGACCACCAAGACCGTCTTGGCCAGGCACAGACTGACCACCAAGACCGTCTTGGCCAGGCACAGACTGACCACCAAGACCGTCTTGGCCAGGCACAGACTGACCACCAAGACCGTCTTGGCCAGGCACAGACTGACCACCAAGACCGTCTTGGCCAGGCACAGACTGACCACCAAGACCGTCTTGGCCAGGCACAGACTGACCACCAAGACCGTCTTGGCCAGGCACAGACTGACCACCAAGACCGTCTTGGCCAGGCACAGACTGACCACCAAGACCGTCTTGGCCAGGCACAGACTGGCCACCAAGACCGTCTTGGCCAGGCACAGACTGACCACCAAGACCGTCTTGGCCAGGCACAGACTGGCCACCAGTCTCTTTCTTTCTTTCTTATGTGTTTCTTTCACCCTATGCCCCTGTTACCTAGCAGTAAAATAGGTACCTGGGTGTTAGTCAGCTGTCACGGGCTGCTTCCTGGGGGGTGGAAGCCTGGTCGAAGACCGGGCCGCGGGGACACTAAAAAGCCCCGAAATCACCTCAAGATAACCAAGACATAACAATTTAACAATAGTTCCTTACACGTCAACCAATGGCACGATGCAGCGCCCCCCCCCCCCCCTTCCCCCAAGACGACGCAGGTGGGATCAGCAGAGCTGTTGTGGTTGGTGGTGCTCGTCCAGGAGACGTCACAGTGAGGCCGGACAGGTGTCTGCCACTATACACACTATACACAGTTCATTATACTCAGTATAGCCAATACAATTAACTTATTGTCCGGTTATTAAATACCAAAAATCACGGTATAAACCAGGACATTTGGTATTTAGGAAATATTGTATATACAACAGGAATATTGTATATACAACAGGAATGTTGTATATACAACAGGAATGTTGTATATACAGCAGGAATATTGTATATACAACAGGAATGTTGTATATACAACAGGAATGTTGTATATACAGCAGGAATATTGTATATACCGCAGGAATATTGTATATACAGCAGGAATATTGTATATACCGCAGGAATATTGTATATACAGCAGGAATATTGTATATACCGCAGGAATATTGTATATACCGCAGGAATATTGTATATACCGCAGGAATATTGTATATACCGCAGGAATATTGTATATACAGCAGGAATATTGTATATACAGCAGGAATATTGTATATACCGCAGGAATATTGTATATACCGCAGGAATATTGTATATACAGCAGGAATATTGTATATACCGCAGGAATATTGTATATACCGCAGGAATATTGTATATACAGCAGGAATATTGTATATACAGCAGGAATATTGTATATACCGCAGGAATATTGTATATACAGCAGGAATATTGTATATACCGCAGGAATATTGTATATACCGCAGGAATATTGTATATACCGCAGGAATATTGTATATACCGCAGGAATATTGTATATACCGCAGGAATATTGTATATACAACAGGAATATTGTGTATACAACAGGAATATTGTATATACAACAGGAATATTGTGTATACAACAGGAATATTGTATATACAACAGGAATATTGTATATACAACAGGAATATTGTATATACAACAGGAATATTGTATATACAACAGGAATATTGTATATACAACAGGAATATTGTATATACAACAGGAATATTGTATATACAACAGGAATATTGTATATACAACAGGAATATTGTATATACAACAGGAATATTGTATATACAACAGGAAATATTGTATATACAACAGGAATATTGTGTATACAACAGGAATATTGTATATACAACAGGAAATATTGTATATACAACAGGAATATTGTATATACAACAGGAATATTGTATATACAACAGGAAATGTTGTATATACAACAGGAATATTGTGTATATACATTACACTGTAGAGTTGACTTAAGTTTCTGGACTATATTCGTGATTTAGGTATATTTGGCGGGAGGGTAAGGTGTAAGAGGCCCAGCAGGGGCCAGATTCACGAAAGCTCTTACGCAAGCACTTACGAACCTGTACATCTTTTCTCAATCTTTGGCGGCTTTGTTTACAATTATTAAACAGTTAATGAGCTCCGAAGCACCAGGAGGCTGTTTATAACAATAACAACAGTTGATTGGGAGGTTTTCATGCTTGTAAACTGTTTAATAAATGTAACGAAAGCTGTCAGACATTGAGGAAAGATGTACAGGTTAGTAAGTGCTTGCGTAACTGCTTCGTGAATCTGGCCCTGAAGGCTTGCTAGCACTTTGATAACGTCTAAGTTGTAGGAGAACTTAACATTCTCTCCTTCAGACTCAACTTGGTAAGTTAACTGGACCATCAGACATGACAACAGGTATCTATAGATATCTCACACCGTTCTAATTATCCACAATGATAATTACTGGTATTTGTAAACGGCGTGCGGTTCGAACAGAGCAAGAACGAAGCAGTGTTCGAGATGACTCCGAACACCATGAGCCATCACTTGCGAGACGTTTTCACCCCAGTTTTAAAAGTGGTGTTTTATCCCAGCCCGGCCTCGTAAACTAAGGCCAAATGATCGTTCATTCACCCGCCAAACCCCTTGTTAAAGAGTGAAAACCAGCTTACACGCGACTCACAACTGATGATATCCGCTCATTTTTCGAACAGTCCTTCGCTGACGACTTGTGTTCGAACCACAACGCTGTAAATGCTTCACCCACGTACTACAAATACAAAAAAATCGCCAACAGAACCTAAACACCTAACCTAACTGACGCCTAACTTTACACAGAAATTTAATATATTATAATATATCAATTTATATACGAGAACAACCCAATTTTTAATACAATGTTAAAATTAATGAATGTGTCTGGAGTGGAGAGCCTGACCTGAGGACGGGTTGTTTTATCCATAAATAATCCATATAACAGCGGGTTTGGTGGGTGGATTAAAGAACATTTGGCCATTGTTTATGAGGACGGGCCGCCTCACACTCTGGAGCGGCTACTGGGCTTCTATCCTTCCCTCCTCCCCCCTACATACTTATCTCCCCCCTGCCTCCTCTTAGGGGGTGTGTACCTGGGATGCGAACCTGGGGATGTACCACCTCTCACACTGATGACAGCTAAACAACAATGGGAGGAGACAAGGCGTGTATATACACACCCCGAGCGATGGATAATGGCAGCAAAGATGTCGTGCAAATCTATTTCTGAATCTGGTGAAGGAGATGACAGGAGCCGCCGCCGCCAAGGTGGACCTCTGCTGCAGTGTTCATCTCCCGCACAGCATCACCACACACACACACACACACACACACACACACACACACACACAC